TATATATATATATTGTCAACAAAGGATGGCTTATATCTCCAAAAAAGCCGGAGGTTTCCGAAGGGACGGTTTAACAATACATTAGCTTCTCTCCCTATCACATACAGTTGATATACAATATTAAACATTATGCTACACATGGAATCTAAGTGAATCAAGTGGTGAAATTATTTTACGCAAAGTCGTCCGATCTAACCACTCAGTTAGATCGAAACCGATCAATGGCTAGCTCCAGTTTTGGACAGTTAAGGTGATCGACCAGTATTTAAAAAATATATATATATTCATATAAATTCTCAAAAATAAGGAATTTGATTTGTAATGCATTTTTTAAATATTCTTTACATTATGGTAAATATTAAAAATTGTTTTGGTCATTAATACTCACTTTTATATTTTCCCATCTTTTTTTGAAAATTTTAAAAATAACCTTTAAAAACTATAAAATGGGTTACAATCTATTTTTTTCATTAATTTTCAACTTCATTTGAATGTGTTTTATTTTAATCATTCTTTATATGTTTTTTCATATTTTTTGCATTTTTGAATTTTTTTTTTTTTTTTTTTTTAACGCTTTTTTGACCGCCTGATACTTGTCGGGTTGGAGCGGTTGAATCGGCTGATTTACCAGTTAGGCCGGTTAAACCGTTTCTTTGCCTATACCCGATTAACTCTTCCGATTCACTTTTACAAACACTGAGTGAAATGCACGAAATAGGTTAAAAGTTTAGGAGTAAAACATGATGAAAAGTTCAACTTCTCATTAAATTGTGTGGGGCAAATGATGATGACTAGTTAGAGTTTCCCCAACATAAGGAGCGATTTTGGCCCAAACATTAACCTCGTCCACTGCTCCCCTCAGCGCGCATGTTTTAAAACTTTTTTCCAAATTGATGGGACATATCTATGTTGAATCGTTGGATTGGTGATCTAGATCTAGTGTAGGAAAGCACGATCCAGGAATAGAACTTATCCTGGGGCCAGGCTGAGTAACCCAAAACCAGGTCCAAATAACCTACCCCTAACCAGGAAGGTGGCCAAAAAATGTTTAATTTTTTTTAAAAAAATCCAAAAATATGTGAAAAACATGTTTATAAACAAAATACATCTAAATGAGGTTCAAAAAGTAGAGAAAACGTTGACTTTAAAAAATCAATTTGTGACTAAGGGTACTTTAAAAATAATTCAAAAAGAAAGAAAAATGTAAAAATAAGTATTTATGGCCAAAACACTTTGCAATATTTACCAAAATGATAGAAAATATAAAAAAAAAAGGAAAAAGTTTATATAAGGTTGCAACCTTAAAATGTACAATTACAGATACACCTCAAAATTCCATCAAAAAATATTGTTTTAATGCTAAAAAACCCTCTAATTGATCATATCAATATTGAGATGTACGAATATGAAAGAAAAAAAGAATTTGAGTCTAAAAAATAGTGCATCTTGCAATACATTATCTAGACTGTCCATTATCAAGATTATCATATGTTTATCGATCTGCTTGATTTTAATCATTTTTAAAGTTTAAAATTTTATAATTAAATATGAAAATAGATTTTGAGATAATCCTAAGAATTCTTTCACCAAAATTTGGAAGTGCGACTTAATTGGATTATTTAAGGTTTCAACCTTATAGAAACCACACCCTAAAAAAATAACAATTAAATTTATTATTTTTTGGATTCTTATAATTTCCTTGAAGTTTTTTTTTTTTTTAAATCCCGAACTTGACCACCAAACTTGATATGTAACTGAGCTAACTTGGGCTAACCAACCACGTAAACCCCAAAAGCAGGTAGGTTAAAGGGAACATGGCCGGGTAGTAGAAAAAACATCCGTGTAGGCCTACTCAGGTAAACCAGCTAAAAATTGGGTCACCTAGGGATGCGAGTCTCGGTAACCCACTTGGTCTGGTTCGATCGGCTGGTTTTTCCATTACTATTTAGATCGGGTTTGCATCGATCTGAAATAATGATCGAAAAAATATTAGAAAATGAAAAAAAAAAAAATTGGGATTTATGGGGTGAGGATTTAAAAAGGGCCACGATAAGGGTAAAAGAAAAAGAAAAAAAAATAACTATATCTAAGAGGGGTTTTATGGGCTAACTGGGTTGGGACCCATACCATCCCAAAACTGGTTAACCGTTTCCACTATGAATCGATGATCCAAATTGAAAATCACCGAGCTTTAAATATTGTTTTAAAATAAAGATAAAAAAAAGCTCTACTCAAGCCTAATACACATATGTACATACATGTGTTTTAGGCATGCACACAAATTGAAATTATTTAAGAACCCTTAAATCTACACAACGTTTAAGAATGCCCCCCCCCCCAAATAAAGTTGTCGCTGTAGACAACGTGGAACTGAAACATTGATCTTAAATCACAATGGAAAAGTTTTGAGGGGACCGGATGCTAACCCGCGAACATCCATCTTTAATATGGTCACTTTATAAAGTGCACCGGACCAAAATAAAATATGAACAGTGTGAAAAAAGTTCTGAAAAAAAGCACATTTTAAATTTTAAAAATTTTATTTTTCATATTCATGATCACCTTATCCTAAATTATGAACCCCAAAAAATTTAGATAAAAATTATATTTTTAAGATTGAATTTGAGAGGGGGACAAACCTCATCCAATCATTATTTGCCTTGAGCTTATCCGACGAGGCCGCACAATAAGACCCATGGGCCATGGGTGGACTCAACCTGTACGAAATGTTATTTTGACTAGGATTGAAAAAACCACCCCACTCCATTGAATTATGGAAAAGTTCTAAATGAATCATATTACAAAAAGGGAAAGTATAGAGTCAGGCTATTTACATTTGATATAAGGTGAGAATTATTTTTTGATCAATGGATGTGAAATTGAGTATCTACATTTATTTCATTGACCAAGCTCAAATTTCAAAAGAAATTTTTTCGAATTTTGTGATATATCCAAACTATCAGATTTTACATTTGATAGTTATATATAATTGTGACAGTGGTAGGCCCTGAATTGGGACTCTAAATCTTATGGAAAAAATAATAATAATATGCATGAAAAAATAACTAAATGTTTTGTAAAAGAAATGACTCGACTTTAAGGCAAAGTGTAGTATTCCTTAGAGAGAGGGGGAGAGAGAGAGAGAGGTTTACCTCTTGGCATTGGGTAGAGCGGAGGCCATGGCAGTGTTTAAAACCTTAATGAACCCTGGGGCAAAAAGCAAGTGGTTGCGCGTAATAATAGCCCTGACTCCCTTCCTGGTTATGTAAAGAGGACCAAGATCCCTTTGTCCAAACAAAAAAGAGGGCCAAGATGCCAAGATGTCTTTGTTTTTCTCTCCAAGCCGTTCAAATCAACTCTACTCTTTTGTTTTCTTTCTTCTTTATCATTGGGCTGGTCAACTGGGCCTGAACTTTCTTGATGGTTTTCTTGGAAGGGTGAGGTTTTGTATAGGGTGCTCATTTTATGCTATATAAGTAAGGCGCACCTTTAAATTTTGTCAAAAGATGTAGTTTTGGTGTTGGAAATCTTAGGATGATTTGAAAATCGATATTCAATCCTAATAATGAAATTTAAAATACAAAAAATGATTTTGATCAAGTAGGTCAATAAACATATGAAAATATGGAAAATTGACGGTTCAAGTAACTTCTTACAAGATGCAGCATTATTAGGACTCAAAATTCTTTTTTCTTTTTATTTCTATATATACATGCATCTTGAGGTCGATATGATCAATTGGAGGGCTTTAACTTGGTATGTTTCTATGGAAAACTTCAAGGGTTAAACACTACCGCGATGGCAAACCCTAAGGGACCTTCATGAGCATCAAGAATTATTGTGTTTGGTGCCTATTGAGATTAAGGGCACGTTTATTTTGAGAAATATTTTCACGTAAAAGAATTTCTTCATGTGGTTATTTGTGGAAATATTTTCACACTAATTGGTTTTAGCGCATCTTTCCATTCCAATTGGTAGCCCATTGGCATGGAAAAATTCCTGTGAAAGTTTTTGCCGAAAGCATTTATACACGAACCAATGGTTCAGTTTTTAACATATTATCTGGACCTTCGATTTTCAAGATTTTCAAGTGTTCATAGATCTGCTTGATCGTCACCATTTCTAAAACTTTAAATTTCATAATTGGTGGGAACAATAGATTTTCATATCATCACAAGGCTTTACTGAACTGAAACTGCATTTTTGGTATAGTCTTGAGGTGCACCTTCAATAGTATAAGGTTGACACCTTATGCAAACCTCACCCTTGTATGAAATAGTTTGCAACCTTGAACCATCCAAGAAAGGTGCACTATCAAATTTTCAACCTTGAACCATCCAAGAAAGGTGCACTATCAAATTTTATCCTAAAATGTAATTTTGGTGCAAAAAATTCTTAGGATGGCATGAGAATCCAAATTCATCTTTAAGTATAAAATTTTAGACTCCAAAAACAGTTCAAACCAAGTACATCTAGAAACATAGGATAATCTTGCAAATGGACGGTCTAGATAATGCGTTGCAAGATGCATTATTTTTTAGATTCAAAATCTTTTTTTTTCTTTTTTTATTTTTATTTTTTCGTATTCACATCTCCATGCCAGATGATCAATTAAAGGGTTTTGCAACTTTAAAATAACTTTTTACGATATATTTTTTAGGTGCAACCTTAATTCTAAATTTTAAGGTTGCAACCTTATATAAACTTTTTCCATTGAAATAAGGACCTTTGTATATAGAGTGAGGCTTGTATAAGGTGTCAACCTTATATTATTGAAGCAAGGCACATCTCAAAACTATATCAAAAGATGCAATTTTAGCGCCGGAAAATTTTGGGATGGCATAAAAATCTATTGTCACCCCTAACAATGAAATTTAAAGCTCCAAAAATAGCACAGATGAAGCATACTTATAAATAATTAAAAATTTTGAAAATGGACCTTCAAGATAATGTATTACAAGATACATTTATTTTCATGAACTAAAAATATTTGTTTTCCTATATTCATACATTTTAATGTTGAGATGATCAATTTGAGAGGTTTTTAGCATCGTAACAACCTTTTCTTAGTTCAATAATATAAATTAAACACCCTATATAACTTCTTATTTTTGTATATATAATATGGATTGGATAAGAATACAAATAATATTAAAATGTTTCAACTATTACAGGCGACAAATTATAAGAGAGAACAAAGGAAAACAATTAGATTTCATTATGGTGAGTTCCGAATTGCTGTCTTCAACAGGTCATTGCCCCCATCTTGGACTTTCTTTCGCCCTCACCTAACATTGCTTGATCCTCTTCTTGTCTCGAAGGAAACACAAGATTCTCTTTGCTACCTTGTGTTGAAGGTAGACTTACATAATTTATTAAATGGAAAAAGTTTATATATGGTTCACATCCTAAAAATATATAATTAAGGTGCACCTCTAAAATTATTCAAAAAAGGTTGTTTTAATGTTGGGAAAACATCTAATTGATCATCTTGATATTGAGATTAATAAATATGGAGAAAAAATAGGTTTCAAGTCCTTAAAATAGTTCATATTGCAACATATTGTATACGCCGCCTATTTTCAAAATTTTCATGTGTTTATAGATCTGCTTGATTTGAACCAATTTTTTTGCTTCAAATTTTATGTAAGATATGAAAATAGATTATCACACTATCCTAAGAATTTTCAACACAAAAATTGCATCCCATGAGAAAGCGTGGTGATGCACCGTACTTTGAAACCACACACTTTATTAATTGATCTTGATCATTAAAATATACTCATATTGCCAAAAGATATCCTACTCCTCTGGGAGTATATTATCCATCTACTCCCTTTGGCAAAACTTACACTAGAAATATATTTTGATCTCAAATTTTGGGGATGTGAACTCTAGAGCCTGCAACCAACCTAAAAGAAAAAAAAAAGAAATTAACTTTCACTCTATATAACTAAATCAAATGGCACCCCAAGTGGATGGAATGATCTAGATGTTCAAGATCTCAAAATCCATTCTTTCTTACCTTTCAAATAATCATCTAGTTATAATTATATGGATCTTCAAATTTCAAATAGAAAAATGTTTCAAAATAAGTATTTTGCCCGAGGGAGTAAATGTATATACTTTGTATTTGACTTGTTGGAGAGAGAGGGAGAGTGAGTGTGGATGAATGTTTGTTGAGGAGGAGCATCTTCAAAACCTTGCCAAATCACAAAAAATGAAAAATGTAGCAATCTATTAAAGATGTTAGCCCTAGATGAAGTGGAAACCAATAATATACTTTGGAGCTACATAAACCTAACCTAGTCATGCATTGTTTATATTTTTTTCTTTTCTTTTTAACATATTTTAGTTAGACGACCGATTAAACAAGCAAAAAAATTTTGAGTTAGGTTGTTGTTGCTCCCTAAATAACGATATTTGATTAACTGTGCTTCTAGCTTTTGTCACTCGATGGTTACAAGCAACTCAAACATGCAAAAGCAAATAATATGCTAGTTATTTTGAAACTATTAAAGCATAAGACTACTAGCACTCTTAGGTGATTTAGTTTTAATGTACATATACAAGTAGTAATTGAATTAGACCTAAGGTCCGAATTTCAGAAAGCTCGGACCGGCATTTTAGATTCAAATGGATAAATATTGAGCCGAGGCTCTAAACAATCAAATTAGAGTCTATCTCAAAAATTTTACTAGAAGAAGTTGTTTTGATGCTCAAATATCCTCAAATTGATCATCTCGACATCAAGATGCATAGACATAAGAGAAAATTGGATTTCAAGTATTGAAAATAGTGTGTTTTGTAACAGATTTTTGGACTGTCAATTTTCAAAATTTTCAAGTTGTCATAGATATGTCGATCTACACTATTTTTAAAGCTTTGAAATTTATAAATACAAATGAAAATATATTTTAAGACTATCACAAATATTTCCAATATTAAAACTACATTTCTCAATGCTATTTGAAGGTAAGCTCTAATTTGATTGTTTAGAGCCTAGGCTCTATATAAACCGCACCCATATATAAATAGCTTTCAATCCTTCTGAGGGCTGTAACCATATTTACCCATCCCATCTGCACTCTCCATTTGGGCAGGAGATCAATGACTGTAAGTCCGGTGTTTAAAGACCCGAATCGGTGGGGCTGATCATCTACCCACCTATCATGAATCTACCCCACCATTTCCCATGTTGAAGTTTCCTTAGATAGGCAACTGAGGAAATCATAGAAAAAGGAAAAAAATAAAGTTTTATATATTATTTATAGGATGCAATTTCTGTAAGACCCAAACTTTCGACTTTATGAAAACAAAATAAAGTGTCAATGGAGTCCTCATCTGGAAAGCATTATAGGCATAAACAAATTTTATGATGGCTTTAAAAGAAATTTCCAATACCGACTATGAAATTTGAAGATAAAAAAATAATACCAACTTTGCGATCAGTAAATACTTATTTTTAAGGCGAAATAGACAATGAAGATAATGTGTCATAATATACCCTATTTTTGGGGCTTGAAATCTTAATTTCTTTTCACAAACATAATTATCTAGGCTGAGATGATTGATTTGAAGATTTCCGATGCTCTAACTGCAGTTTATGATTAGTTTTGCGGTGAAGCTTTATTTATTTTGTTAGGATTGTAGCCCTATCAAAAATATTTTTCTAAAGAGTCCCTAGGAGCAATACTGTTCATCTCCTCCCTCACTGAAAATATCTACTTAGGAGAATTTTCTTTGTCCAAAATTTTCGGAAACACATGATATTTATTAGATGCTTAGTTTTAAAAGAAAATTTTGAATCTTAAGTTTTATGAGACTTATATCTAGCCCTTCAAAAATTAGACGGTCTCTACTGAATCTTCAAAATTAGACGGTCTCTACTGAATCTTGAGGCGTAAGTTTTTTTCTAGTACATAGAGTATTCTACAGGCATATGACATTTGGATAGCATCTGATACAACCTATAAGATGTATTTCCATTATTTGGCTTTTCTGGAATATAAATTAATCAGAATTTTAACTATAACAAACTTCTTGCTCCCTTCCAATATGGGCTTAATATAATAAGCTAATAAACAATTAACAAACTTAATGAGTTAATAAGATATTTTGTTTGGGGGATTTTCTATTGTTCTCTCTAGAGACCGGTTATTAAGACACGCCACCTAATTTTAAAATATTTTTCGTGCAAGTTGCAAATGCTTCCAAATCATGGAAAACGATATTGCAACTAAACAATTTGCAGAAAATATGTAAGATTAAGTGTGCAGCCAAAGTGAAAATCCATTTTCCAAATTATCAAATTCTTCTGGGGAATTGGAGAAAACCAACTCTAATGAAATTAGTAGTTAACGCTCAAAAAATAA